AACTCGGGTCCTTGCGCTTGCAAGGCAGGCCACTGAACTGCTGAGCTAAATCCCTGGCCCTACAATTTTTATTTTGAGACAGGGTCTTAGTTGCCCAGGCTGGGCTTAAACTTCTAAGCGTCCTGCTTTAGCTTCCTAGGGTGCTGAGATTATAGGCATCCACCCACACCTAGCTGAAATTGTACTTTTCTGAGCAAGCTTTCCCCCAAAATTTGTAAGCCTTTGATAGACTCCAGGATTATAAAATAGTTACCTCAGATTCTAGTGTAATCATTATCTAGGTGGGCAGATTTCATGTGCTTCCTACTTTGCTGACTTATTAACATGTTTTTGTTTTTACAAAGAAAGCAGTTTAATTCTTGACATTTTAAATATTTTTAAAAATAGTGTCCTACCTGGGGATATGCCACAGTGGTAGAACACTTGGCTTAGCATGAATGAGGAGACCCTGGGTTCAATCCCCAGTACTTCTTTAAAAAAAAAAAAAAAAGAAAGAAAGAAAGAAACTTCCTGAAATTTCAGTGTTAATAATGAGAAGAGAGCTTCTTTGGCATGGGTTATGTTTCATGTAAAGTTTGATATCTTCATCAGTGAGTGGCCCACAACAATTTAAATGAAGTGTGTTGGGATCCACAGGAGGTGGATCTGCACTTGCGAAGGCAGCTTAAAGGCAGGTGCTCTTAGTCTTGTCTAGATCCTTGGTATACTATAGCCATACTTGGCTTTCACCTTATAGCCAGGGCTTTGAAAACAGTGAGCCAGACTGGGGCTTGGCCATGAGAGGTGTTCAGAGGCTCCCTAACACAGATGCCTTTCTCCCTGGAGTTGAGTCTCATCAGGTAGGGAATCCTGACCTTCTGCCAGGATGCTTTTCCAGGAACATTGCATGGGTTCTATAGGCTCAGGAATTGCTGTGCACTATTTTTGCATTTTAAATCATCAAGCAATGCTTAATTTAGTAGGTTAGCCTAAGCACACACAAAACATTGGCTAATTTTATTAAGAAATCTTAGGGAAGGGCTAGGAATGTAGCTCAGTTGGTAGAACACTCAACTAACATGTTGGGAGGCCCTAGGTTCAATCCTGAGCATCACAAGATAAAGGAGAAAGAGAAGGAAATCTTAGGGGAAAACACAAGATATCTTCCAACCCCTTCTCATAGCTGCTTTTTGGAATTACTGGGTATAGAATCCTTTTATACAAACAACTTTGGAGCTAGAATAAAGATGATCCTTTTTATCTATAAATAACATCATTATAGTAACCTAATTGATAGAAATGATGTCATACAATGTAGAACAGACTTTTTATAACAGTGTACTATCACTAATGAATTAATAATTTGTACAAACCATGGGTTTAGGGGTCAGGCCCTAGAGCCACACAGACACCTGTACTGAATCCTACCTGCCTTCACCGTTATGAGCCATGCCACCTACCCTGGTGGCACCCACCTCACACGGAGCAGCAGGGTCATGTGAAAGGCATAGAAATGGAGGCCATGTGTAAATGCTGGCTCTTATTGCTGCTTTAAGACATGTACAGAGCCTTCTTGGAATCAGAATTCTAAGATTGAGATTGAGGAAAGCCTTTTAATTATCCCCCTTCCCCTCTTCTCCCCCCCCACCCTTCCTACTCTCTTTTTTTGTCTTCTCTGAGAGACCTCCCTGTTTCCCACATCCTCTTTCCTGGGATTTACTTAATCGAGTAAAAGTCATGTGGCACCCTCCCTGTTAAATAACTAATGTGACCCTAGGAGGAAGCTGTGCTGTGCAAGGTCTCAGTAGGCCCTGGGCAGAAAGATGAATGAGCCCTGTTTTATTTAATGTTGCTTTTTTGTGAGACAGGCAGTGGAACCACTGAGCTAAATTCCCAGCCCTGCTTTTGTGTGAAAAGATGTGACTGCTAATTTATATAAATAACCCTAGAAAATGAAAGGTTAAAGTCACTAATAAACTATTCTGTGAACGACCAAATGGGTCTACTGTTTAAATGTTATAAGCTCTTATTAAAGAAACTGAAAACTTGTCATATAAATTTTTTATAGAAAAATAAAATATTTCAGAAACCGTTAACTAATAAGACCCTAATAAGACTTTGTTCTTTATTCTTCACTGATGCCCTTGTTCCCTCAATTTGCACTTACTTATAATACTTAAAGGGGAAAAAAAATCCTAATTTTAGCTTTAAGTCTATTAAATGCATTAACTCAGACTGCCTTAACAAATATTCTGTTAACTACATGTGTTAAAGAAAACACATGCTTGAAAGCTTTATAATGGCTATTGATTGTGAAATTTTTTATGTTTGCTGTGGATAGATTGTATTTGCAATTCTTTGAATACTTTAGAAAGTTTATTAGATAATTATGTTAAACTGAACAATAAGCTTTAGCTGATGGTTGTCAAATTAGAACCTACAACTCCATGTCAGAATCAGTGGCCAATTAATTATGCTACCTAAAGCATCTCCTGGGAAGCTGACTTAATGAAGAGACTTACTTACTCTTGGTTAATTTTGCCTTCCATATTGAGCTTTATTCAGTACTTGCTTAACTGGCCACGGTTGCATATGAGTATAGTCAGTCTTAACTACTCATAGATTCCACATTTGTACATTCATCTACTCAGAAGTTTATTTCAACCCCCAAAATCAATTCCTGGAGTGCTTTTATGGTCATTCACAGATAGTACAGAACAGGGCTAAGTTGCTTGATGTGTGTGTTTCAGGCTGAGGTTGAGCAAGGCAGTATACTCTCTGTCCTTGTTTCCCTGGGAAGCATTGGCTCTGTATTTACTGCTTTAGTGTTTGTGGTGACTTTATAGAGTGTAACTACTATGAAAATGAAAATGAATATTTAAGCCAAGCCTGGCAGCGCATTTCTGTAATTCCAGCACTGGGAAAGCTGAGGCAGGAGAATCACCACAAGTTTGAGGCCAGCCTGAGCTACATAGGGAGTGCAAGCCCAGCCTAAACTACAGAGAGAGACCCAGTCTCAAAAAACCACAACAAAAAAATGACTATTTCAGCTAAAGAGTAGGGCTTTATGTCAGTCTAAGTTTAGATTTTTTAAATCATTTGTTCTTACTTACAGGTTGTACTCTGGCATTTGAAACACTGTGATATACAGTACTTGTCTAGTCAATCAAAATACAAAATGTCCTAGAGTTCTGATAATGTGATCTGATGGGTACTAAGAACTGGACAGAAGAAAGTCTTTGATTTTTAGGAAATACAAGTTTTCAAAGGAAGCAAGAATTTCATTAAATTATATCTTAGTGTTTTACTTAAAAACAGGTATTTTTAATATGTTATCTTCACTGAGAATTTCATTTAAAATGTTGAACTATGTATTAAAATACAATTTAAATCTATAATCTCAAAAACGTTTGTAACTAGATTCTTGTACATATAACTTTACTTGGCTTTCTTGTGTCTTTTGTTTAAAAATGGCTTGCTTGGTACTGTGGCATACTGCTGGGTTCTGTCTCTAGCATCATACAAAAAAAAAAAAAGGGGTGAGGGAGCATACATTTCATATTTTAAGCATTGTATGAAATCTGAAATCAGAACTGCCCAAAAACTTTCCTGAGCTTTTTGTGCTTAAAAAGTTTTTATTACTGTTTGGTGGTGGTGGTGCTTGTTATTTCCTATTGCTTTGCCCTCTTAAATTTATTTACATTATTTTCTTGACCACCTTCATACTACCCAGCTTAATTTTGAAACAACATAAAAGATTTTCTAGCCTGACGTGGTGCACATCTGTAATCCCAGCACTCTAGGAATGCCCTGTATGCCCTGGTCTACATAATTCAAGGACAGCCTGGATTATGTAGTGAGACCCTGTCTCAAAAAAAACACCAAGTTTTCTGAAATTCTCAAAGCTGAATGTCACAAGTCCTAAAGGCGAGCCCCTTCTTTGCAGCCTTAGCTCAGAATTTTCCTCTAACTAAGGAACTCCTCCGTCTGTTGCTGTGTTGATGTAAGAGCATACCAAATGCCCTTGAGGTCGACTGTGGGTAGCTCAGGAATCACATAGTCTGATTCATGTGCGTGGATACATTTTTATTACAGAGGAGCCATAAAGCTTTTCTCTCTCCATCCTACATCTCATTCCTTGAAACTTCTCACCTCTTTCTACCTCAGTTTACCTGTGTCTGCTGTTTGGGCAGTGTGTGCTGGGTTAACTGGTGGCCACTGGGGATTGGAATCTGTTTTGGTTTTTCTTCCTTCCTAGCTATCTGTGTGATCTCAGAAACTTCTGTGAGTTGATTTCCTCTTGGAAGTTCATCCAGCTATCCTTGAAAGGTAACATTTATCAGGCCTTATTATAGGTACCAAGGGGACAGATGAAAAGGCACATCATCTTTCCAACATTAATATTGGTTTTAATCTGGTAGAGTAGACAAATAATAAGACATTGTAGTGGAGTGTTGAAATTACAGTAAAATATGTACCCGGTGAGTAGAGTTTGTTGTTTCCTGTCCCACCCCCACAAGTGTAATAAATTCTGCTTCGGTACCTGATTGATTTAGATAGAGGAAGACCTGTTTCACACTCCTGGCTGGAAAGAGTGATTAGCAATTTACCGGATCCATAATACCAGGTCACATATACCACGTATGATGTGGGAAGGGCAGCAGGGACCAGTCCAAAGACACAGGCATGTGGTATGTTCAGAACATTGCTAATACTGCATATAGGAGGTATATCGGGCCAGATTTTTGTGAGTCCTATTTGTATGCTATGCATAAGAATTTTCAAAAACATACTATTAAGATAATTCAAATACAAGATAGTAATAATAGAACGTATGTCTCTCCACCCTTGTCTCATCCAAGCCCCTATCTGTAGTACTGACGTGAAAGTGGCCAGCAGTGACTGGTAAATAACGGGCAAGCAGAAGGTAACTGTCCTGCTCTTAGTGTCTGTCAGCTCTGTTTTTAAAGTTAGATGATTTTCTTTCTGAACTCACCAGACAGGGATAACTTTGACTTTGATTGACAAAAAAAAATCTACCTTTTGTTTTCACATTTCATGTATGTATATGCATCCCTTTTTTCCCGATAAAGCTCCTTGAAGTTTATGCTATACACTCAGTTAATACTGAGCCCTGCACAGAGCAGTTGGGCAGTATGTGTCCTGCCCACGGGCTTGGTGTGTTTCTATTTTAGGCCTGCACACATATACATACATATCACAGCATATCTTCTGCAAAGAAAGCTATTTTATTCCTTTTCTAGTACTGTGTTTTTTAAAAATACAATTTAAAAAAATAGTAGTCTTGTAGCCAGGCATAGTGGCACGTGCCTGTGACTCCAGCATTTAGTAGCCTGAAATAGGAAGGTTGCATTTTCAAGGCCAGCCTAGGACACATAGCGGAACTCTATCTCACAAAACAAAACAAAAAAATAACCATAATGTTAAGTGGAATAAGCCTGACAAGTTTAAGTATTGCTTTCTTTTATATGAGAAACCCAAAATATAAAGAGCACTACAATGCAAATGACAGATAATAGGAAATAGGGAGATAATTTTCATATGGGAAAAGGAGCAGGAGATGGAGGGAGGAGGGAAGGAAGAGAACAGGACTGAAAAATAATTGAAGAAACAACAGAAATAGAGCTTTTACAAATGGGAAAGGGGATGAGAGTTGGAGCAGGGAGGGATGGGAAGGCAAGGGGACAAAGAAAAGAATTATGATGTATTTGCATGTACACATACCTCACAGTAAAAGTAATCGTTACGTACTACAAACATGTACTAATACCACTTCTTAAAAGAAAACCCAAAATAGCAGTTTATATTTGCTTCAGATTATTCTCTTTTAGGGCCAGTAAAATAATTGGTGCTAATACATCTAGAAAATAAGAAGTATAGGTAATTTAAGAATTGCAGCCCAGTCTGACCATGGCTTTTGTTTCTCTTTTAGGGCCTGCTCTCTTTTTTGAGTGCCCCACTCATAGGCGCCCTCTCTGATGTGTGGGGAAGAAAACCTTTTCTCCTTGGCACAGTTTTCTTCACTTGCTTCCCTATTCCACTGATGAGGATCAGCCCATGGTGAGCAGCTCAGCCCTGCACTGATGTACCAGTATTGGGTCACATGTGAATTGTACAGATTAAATATCCCTAATCCAAACCCTAAAATGTTCTAAAAGACAACTTTTGAGCACTGACATAAAAGTATGATCATTCAGTATACACAGTTTGTTTCTTGCACAAAATTATTTAAAATATTGCATCATGTTGCCTTCAGCCTGCATGTGTAACGTGTGTGAAACATAAATGAATTTCCTGTTTAGACCTGGGTCCCACTCGCAGGATACATCGTTATGTAATGAGCATGTGCTTTAACTCATTCTCTGTGGTAATACTGAAAGCCAGTTTGGACAGTTGACATCATGCCCATGTTATAAATGAGAAAGGAAGGCATTACTAAATTAAAACCCAGATAAATTAGATGAAGAAATAGAAATAAAAGACATCTTTAAGGGCAGCTTTTGTTACCGTGTTGTCATTTATAAGAGTTCAGTTCTGAGAAAGATCCCTGTCCTCACCATTGTGGCTCTGTTGACTTTGCAAATGTATGGTTTTTTTTCAGCTCATTGGGACCCTGAAATGAACATAGTTTATGCCATAATAGACAAGTGTCTCTTTTGCATATACTATTAGTATATGCCTACTGTGCATTGTAATAGGGATTTAGATTTAAGTTTATTTGAATTACCTTAGGCTATCTTTTGTGTTGAAAAATACTCATTCCTATGTTACACAGGTATTGTTTAAAATCAAGATTAGATGGCTTTTCAACATGGAGATTATTTGCCTTTTCTCCTCAAGAAGTATTAATATAATGAATCGCATTAATGTTCTAAGCCCCACTTTTTGTTGTGTACAATACCGTTTGCTATTATTTTAAGTAGGTCCTTTTTAAGCATCTGTGTATATAATAGAATTATTTAAATCTTAGCTATATAAACTTTCTTTTGCACTTTCTGCTTCTGTGTAATTTTTGTTATTTTTTTTGCCACCCGGACTGTGTTCCTTCCCTCTTCCTCCACCTAAGGGAGACAGTGGTCATCAGTGGCAAATGGTAGTTTCAGCAAAGTAACACCAAGTGCCAGCTTCATGCTTTTTTTGTAGATTTTTAAAAATCATTTGTTGTGTATGTCTTTTTCTTAGCTATAGCTAGGAAATTTGCAGTTTTCATTCTATTGATTATCTTTAAAATTATAACTACCTAAAACTAAACTTTTACTTGACCTCATTTGTCCCTTTTTTCTCTTTTCTTTCCATCTAGTCTTCCAGCTTTTTAATGTGTATCCCTTTGAGCAATGACAAAATTAATTAATGTTTCTACTTCTTTCTCCCCATTCTGACTTTTAATTTCTTGTGTCTTTAATTATACTGTACTTATACATGTGCATTTATTTCCTTCTTGGTTTTTGGTCTTTACATGATATATTTGGCTGTGGTCATAAAAGTGAACATACAGTGCCTCTTGCCTGACTAATTAAAATCTTTTTATAGGTGGTATTTTGCGATGATTTCTGTATCTGGAGTCTTCTCAGTTACATTCTCTGTGATATTTGCCTATGTAGCTGACATTACTCAGGAGCATGAACGAAGTACTGCTTATGGATGGGTAAGAAAATGTACTGCTTTTTTTCAGTACTTTAGAGAAAAGACCTCTCAAAGTTCAGTACTTTAGAGAAAAGACCTTTCATTTATTCAGCAAATAATTAAATAAATAACACTATTATAGGAGATTTTGAAAATATAGCATAAGATCCGTGTTAGTTACTCTCAAGTGGTTTGAGGAAAAGATAGCATGTACATGTGTGGATGAGCATGTATGGATGGGCATGTGTCCCATGTGTGGACCTCCTTGTACATGTAAATGTGTGTTGTCTTTCCTCTGTGTTTGGGAATGTTCACAATAAGAAGGTGGAAGGAAAAAGATGATCTGGCAGAATTGTGGAGAATAATAGACTGGAAGGTGATGAAAGCTAGAAACCAAAGTAGTCTCTTACCTTTCCTGGGTCTTACTTTTTCTTTTAAATCCCAATTCCTGGAATGGGGTTACGTATCATTCATTGTTGACTAAATGAACAATTTCATGAATCAGTGGTAAATAAGTTATTACTGTTTCACAAAACAGCAGTTTTTACTTTGTTGATTTTAGATGTGTCTTTCAAGCCCACTTCCCTTCTGACTCCTCCTGGTCTTTAGCCCTGCTTCCTTCCCCTCTCCCATGAGTGTCTTCCATGCCCCATCCTATCATGAGGATGCTGCAGAGGGCTCTGTGGTACAGAGGGAGAAGCTAACTGGAAGGCTTCAGGGAAAGCAAGATATCAATGTGGGCCGTAGAGATGGTCGCTGGAGCCTGGGGAAGAGTGCCGGGAGCTCATTCAGCGCACTAGTGTCCTGTGCTTTTCTCCACCCCCAAGGAAAATGCCTGTGGATATGCATTCTCCTGTAATTTTATTCGATTTTTAAATGTTTTAACTGATAACAACATTATAAAAGTTGTACATTTAAATGTGAGATACCATGTAATATTTTGATGCATGTATACATTGAATAATGTTTAAGTGATATTAAACATTTTTATTGCCTTAGGAAGTTATACTTTTATCATTCATTGATGAAATTTTTATTAGATGTTTGTTCCTTGCTTTTATCAAGAAAACCATTCACAAAGCTGTGCTGATGAGGAGTGCTTTAGGAAAGATTTCTAGGAGGCCTGAGCCACCATAAGTGACTATGACCTAATTACTCTCTTTAGCTCAACTCCTCTTCATAAAACCACAAGTAGGATTAATGCCTACGCATGGAGAATCGAGACAAGTCTGTGTACACACATCCCAGCTGAGACAGTGCTCTGCCAGGGCTCACAGGCAGGCAAGTCGGTTGTTGCATTTGAATCAGGGCCAGATGGCCAATGACTGACTACCTTTGGTATTCACACCTCATAGCCTGTCTTCCAGAGATAGGAGAGCTTACTGCCAGTTACTTCCATGATTTGTCAACTTTTTTTTTTTTGTACCGGGGATCGAATTCAGGACCTTGTGCTTACGAGGCATGCAGCGGCACTGCTGAGTTAAATCCCCGGCTATCAGTCAGATTCTTTAGGGACTTTTGAGACCCATTAAAGAGCAACATATGAAATACATGCACCTTCCTTATTGAAATTCCTCTTGTAAACCAAGAAAACTGATAATTTTCAGGACCACAGCAATGAGTAAACTAACCCACCCTGGGAAGTTGTGTGGTGAGGTCATCTTTCTGATTTATTTTCCAGAGTCCTTTTGAATGGTAAATGAAAGAGGGATTTAGATTTTTTTTTTTTTTTTTTTAGTTACGCAGGTTCCTAAGTTTTAAGAAAGAGTGCTCACTTTGGCACTTCAGATACTACGTTTTAAGAAAGATACTATTCGTCGTGGTCTCATTCAGTCATAGCATCTGCGGACACAGCAGCATTGCTTCCTTTGCACCAATGTTGCTACCCCAGGACCCCATAGCACCAGAGAACACAGCACTGCTCCTCTATTTGCATGTTATTGGAATTTCCAATGCTGTTATGGCTTCTTGGCTTTCTCAAATAAAGTGGAAAAACCTGAAGGGCAGAAGTTTTGTTATATTCTTCATCTGGGTAGTAGGTATTAGATAAACAATGAAGGAATCCTTGTTCTCCAAATTCGAGTTCTCCACACACACCCCCCACTTCTTCCTCCCTCTATTTTTGTCTGTCTTCCTTCCCGCCCCTCCTTGTCTCCCTCCCTCCCTCTCCCTCTCTCTCTCCCTCCCTGTCTCTCTCCTTCCCTCTCTCCCCCTCCCTCTCATTCATTCATTCATTCATTTCTGGTAGTATTGGGGATTGAATCCAGGCCTGGCCTTTGCACCAAGTCACACACAAACACACGCGCACGCACATATCAGACTCCCAACCCCATACTGGGGATTGAATCCAGTTCCTTTTTGCTAAGCTACATCCCTAGGGTCCCCCACCCCTCCTTTTTTGTTTTTTGGGGGACAGGGTCTCGCTGTGTAGTCCAGGATGGCCTCAAGTTCTTGGTGATCCTCCTGCCTTCTTTCTCCAGAGAGTGCTGGGGTTACAGATATGCGCCACTGTGCCCAGCTGATATATTGTATCTTTACGTTCATCTGGGGGATGACAGGTTATGGAAGTACGTCATATAATCATAGATATGCTTTTGGTACTATCTGTTTATAATTTGGAGACTGCCCACTGAGCTTTTCAGTATTCACATTGCATTCTACAGTGTAGGAATATTGGCTTGTAATGGGAAGAGACTTGGTGGTGTGGCTTCCGGTTGTGCCTGCTGTCCACCTGCAATGTGGTCTCTTTTGGACTGTAAGCCACGAGGTGACAGGGTAACGGAATTTACAGCCCTCTAGTCAGAAGGCTTCAAATCGTTTCATTTTTTTAAAGTTACAGCTTTTTCTTTTTGAGAATATTAGGGTCTCCTCCCTACCCTCTTCAGCACTAATAAAGTGGTCACCAAATAAAACAGTGAAATAGTGCAGTGTTTTTGGAAGATGAATTATTCAAGGCCCTTGAGAATTCGTAGGTTTTATCATTAGCTCTGCAGAGATTGTTTTTATTTCCCAATTAAAGAAGACCAAAAAGTGAATATTTTATTTATAAAGTTTTCACAAGTTTAATTTTAGTACTGTTATTTTTTTATTCTCACAGATCAAATTCTTAAACAGAATTACTTTCTCTTTCATGCTTGAAATTTGTGTGCAACACTTTTTGGTGAGGGGGGGTCTTGTTTTTTGTCTTTAAAACTAAAGATCTGTACCTGTACCTGTAGACCCTGAGTAAGAGTATTTTCCCACAAGTGTGTGTCTGTGGCAGTGGGAACCTGGCTGAGAACATTCTTTCTCCACAGACTTTCAGCTGTGGGACCCTGAGTAACAGACAGTGTGCTTTCCTTCAGGTCTCAGCCACCTTTGCAGCTAGTCTGGTCACCAGCCCAGCCATTGGAGCATACCTTTCTGCCAGTTATGGAGACAGCCTTGTGGTGCTAGTGGCCACAGTGGTGGCTCTTCTGGACATCTGCTTCATCTTGGTGGCTGTTCCAGAATCTCTGCCAGAAAAGATAAGACCAGTTTCCTGGGGAGCTCAGATTTCTTGGAAACAAGCAGACCCTTTTGCGGTAAATGAAAGTATTGACTTTGTATGTAGCCTCAAGGATGCCAGCTATTGTTGATCTATGTTTTTTTCTCCCATAAAAATAGAAAAATGTTAATTACACGTAAGCCACCAAGGTAGTCTGTGTACCCAAAAATGTAGAGAATCAGTACTTAAGCCTAGCATGTCATAGGGAAATAAGAGAAAGTAAATATCCAGTAATCTCTGATGATAGTTTGGGAAGGAGTTTCTTTTCACTTGGTTATTTTCATCATCTTTTAAACAAAATATTGTAGGTGGTCATTTGAAGCAAATTCAGTTTTTAATTTTAAAAAATGTAAATGCATTTGGTCTAATTATTTTCTAAGTTGTAAGTTTACATCTATAATGGCCAAAGGCTTTGAACTAACATGTATAGATTAAGCAGACGTATGTAAATAAATTAAAATATTCTTACTAGTGTGGAGCGTACTTTGTTGTGTGCTAGGTTTACAGGAATATGAATTGAATACCATAAGGCAAATAGAATATCAACATTTTGAAGAATGGAGTGAACTTATCTATAAATTACTATACTGGATGTAAAAACCAGGTGAAAACCCTATACTGGATATAACTAAAGAAATTATATTACAAATCAAGGGAAATGATTTTCTTAAAAGGGTTCTGTGGAAATATGTTTTCAGGATTTTTTTTTTTTTTTTAGGATATTCAGGATCTGTTTAATGATATAAGCCAAGATTTCTAACAGATAGCTTTTTCAAAAAGCTATAATATTTTAAATGTATATTTCTGAAGTGAGGACTTGTGACTTCCGCAGAGAGATGGTGATGAATTTAATATTAAAATTTTATAATCCATTCAACTGTTTTGTTATCCACCTTAATAAATTAAAATAATGAAGCCAGTATCTCAGAGCATTGCTGATACTTTTATCTACTAGCTTTTTTATGTGTTTGTTTTCTGTTTATTTCCAGTCATTGAAGAAAGTTGGAAAAGATTCTACTGTCTTACTTATCTGTATCACTGTGTTTCTTTCATATCTTCCTGAAGCTGGACAGTATTCAAGTTTTTTTCTGTATCTCAGGCAGGTGAGTAGTGGGGACCTAGTAGCATTTGAACATGAAGAATATTGGAGATTGAGATCTGCTTAAAGATAACTTGGGGAAACCCTGGTTAAAAGTGTAGATCCTGGTAGAGAATTAGTAAACAGGAGCCTTTAATACAGTGAAGACTTAAAAGACATCAGGAAGCTGGGCATGGTTGGACAAGCCTTAGTAAAGCAAGAGCTTTACACATGAGCTCAAGAGCTTGAGAAGACCCTGTCTCAAAAAAATAATAATAAAATATAGTGGGATATGTACTATAGAAAACTTCCTTTGAGAATTATAGGGAGAAAAGATTATCAGGAACAAAGTGAATGAATGGATGAACTAACAAATTTATTTATTTAGTGGTACTGAGGATGAAACCCAGGCTGTTCATACTGGGCGCATACCTACCCTTTTTTTTTAATCATTTGTTTAGAGATAGAGTCTCACAAGGTCATTAAATTGCCCAGAATGAGCTCAAAATTTGAGATCCTCCTGCCTGAGCCTCTTAGACTGCTGGGTATCATATTTTCTGAGGACTTCCATTTAGAGCAATTTTAAGTTCACATAAATTAAGAGGGAGGTGTGCAGAATTTCTGTATAGCTTTCCCCAAAGATACACAGCCTCCTCCTCTATGAAAATCTGCATCAGAGTGGTCCATTTGTTAAACAGACCTACATCAACACATCAGCATCACTAAGCCTCTAGTTAACAGTAGGCTTCACTCTTGGTATTGTGCGTTCTGTAGGTTTAGACAAATGTATAGCAACACAACTATGACTTTTATTTTGCTATCTATATTTCCCTACACTATGCTCATGTCACCACCATCAATTATAGTGAATTTTGTACTAATGCTCACTCTAAAGAATAACTAACATAGGGCTGAGGATGTAGCTCAGTGGCACTGTACCTGAAGGTCCTGAGTTTGATCCCGGGTACCCAAAAAAGGGGGGAGGGGAGATTTAAAGAATAATTGACATAGCATTTTAGTTAAAATTTTGATATTTAAAATTACATATTTGATAAAATATTTATAGAAGGCAAAATAATTTATCCTTTTTGAAATATTTTAAAAATTAGAAATTGTTGATTTTTCAGAACTACTGTTAAGGCCAGAGGCTTAGAAGTCATTACCAGCCAACTTCATTAGCTACTATCATTAGAAGCCCCATGGGAACTTTTTAGAGCATATCTGCCTCTGAGCCGTACCTCAGAGAGTCTTATGTAATTGGTGTCCACTGAGTTCCAGTACATTACTGCCCTCCCGAGTCCCCCCCTCATTCCCTTTCTGTTGGCCACATGATTTTAATGTGTAGTGACAGTGGAGAGCCATTGGTTTTGCTGTTGAGCACCATCAAAAGTCAAGTCACGTTTTCTTTCATATTCTCCATATTGCGTGTTGTCATCCTTGTGTGAGTTGGGGATAGAGAGAAAATATGAATTAAGTAAATATAGAAAATAGTATCCAAAATATTTTGCAATTTAAGATGTGCCAGCCTATTATGATTTCTTATATCAGATTGGATACAAATTACTGGTTGAATAGGTTTAGCTTTCAGCACTGTCCTGATTTTGTCTCTGATTTTATGGACTGTTCTCAATTCTTTTATTCTGTCACTTTAATAGAGTAAACATTTCTTACCAGTTATTTCGTTAGTGTCTCTATTACTAAAGTATTGTTTTTTGTCTTTTTTTTTGTTTTTGTTTTTTTCATTCCCTTAGGTCATAGGTTTTGGATCAGTTAAAATTGCAGCATTCATAGCTATGGTGGGAATTCTGTCTATTGTGGCCCAGGTGAGTCACCCATACTTTAAAATTTTTTGTTTTCCTTCTAATCCTTGATAACCACAGTTTCACAGGAAGCCACAAACACACGTATACCCCTCAGGTCCTGCTATGGCATGTCATGCACAACTAGAAGATAGGGACATGGCTCACAAAACTGCTTCTTCTTGATAGAATGCTGAGGTCAGATTTAGGGAAAACTATATACAGCTTTCAGTAGCATAATTTATTTTTATTTGTGTTGGGTCAGTTGTTTTATTTGCTTGTAAAGCAACCAAGATAGTAACTTGCTTATAGACATCACAGAATTAACCAGGAGAATGTTTTTATGTTATTTTAATGATGAAAAGTAAATAGAAATAAATAGCAATAATTGTTCTAAACCTTTGCTGTCTTTGGGACCAAAGAAATGTGAATCAGTGAGTATAGTTAAGGTTCTCTAGAGGAACAGAATCAATATCATAAAATATATAATATTCAAGAGGGATTTATTAGGTATACTTGAAGGATCAAAGGCAGGAGAGTGCACAGTAGCTGTCTGCAGCATCAGAGGTGGGAGAATCCACAGTGGCCCTCTGCATGCTGGAGACCTGGAGGATCCAGAAGCTGCTCAGCCCACAGTGGAAGAAGCCACAGAACAAGAGGAACCAAGATGCAGTACCAATTGAAGGTTGAAGCTCACTGGAGAGTCGCTGGTATAAAACTGCATTGGAAGGATGAAGAAACGGAAGACCTGGAGACCAATGATGGCAGTAAAGGATGCACTTTCTTGGAGCTCTTCAAAATGGGCATACTTTCTTCCTCTTGCCCTTTTTTTTTTTGCTCCAACCAGGCTACAAGGCTATTGGTTGGTACCAGCCAATCCAATGGGTCTTCCCTCAGTTTTGCTGGCCTATAGATCAGTCATCAACAGATACCAGAACTATGCTTTACTAATCTGCTAGATATTTCTTACTCTAGCCAAGTTGATACATCACAATTAGTGGTCACAATGAGTCACGTTAGGATATATACAATGAATGAAGGGCATTAAATGCTTCCCATTTGTTAGAAGTGCAGTTTCACCACAGCTGGTGAAACGATTTTCACATGAATGTAGTGCTGTGTGTGGATGCATTTCACCTTGTCTTATGGGACTCCTAGAGATTGTTGCCTTGAGATGGTCATTGGGCCAAGCAGAATTCTCTTGTGTGGTTCTCTTCAGAAGAAATAAGAAGGCTGTGAATGTTTCTTCCAAATACTAGACTTGACAAAGCTCATGAGAATACAAAGAATTTTTTATTTCTTCTTCTTTTTTTTTCTCATTGAGTTTATTGGTACATTTTAGTACAGTTACATTCATCATTGGGATCTTGTACCTTTACCATTGGGCCAAGCAGAATTCTCTTGTGTGGTTCTCTTCAGAAGAAATAAGAAGGCTGTGAATGTTTCTTCCAAATACTAGACTTGACAAAGCTCATGAGAATACAAAGAATTTTTTATTTCTTCTTCTTTTTTTTTCTCATTGAGTTTATTGGTACATTTTAGTACAGTTACATTCATCATTGGGATCTTGTACCTTTACATGACAGAGGTTTTACTTATGGGACTCCTAGAGATTGTTGCCTTGAGATGGTCATTGGGCCAAGCAGAATTCTCTTGTGTGGTTCTCTTCAGAAGAAATAAGAAGGCTGTGAATGTTTCTTCCAAATACTAGACTTGACAAAGCTCATGAGAATACAAAGAATTTTTTATTTCTTCTTCTTTTTTTTTCTCATTGAGTTTATTGGTACATTTTAGTACAGTTACATTCATCATTGGGATCTTGTACCTTTACATGACAGGTCTTGGTTCTCATTTTTTTTTCTTGTTAGTATGTTTCTATTTGACTATATTAGCGAATGTAAATTATATTAAGCTTTCAAGTTGATCACGATTTCTGTTTGTTACGTTAACTCCACTCAATTAGCTATTGGCATCTTTTATTGTATTCATTTTCAGACTGTCCTAACTTCTTGTATTTAGCAAAATATATATTTGTTAAAGTCAAAATTAAACCAATCCCAAACAGTTGATAACTGTTAACCTCCAGTGCTGGGGATTTAGCTCTGGCACAGCACCTGCCTCGCAAGTACAAGGTCCTGAGTTCTATCCCTGGTACCAAAACAAAACTGTTGACCTCCAGCCAGATCCCATGTTTGTAATGTTCAACAGGGGTTTGCTATTCACCTACTGCTAAATGCTTGGCATTTTTTCAGAGACTGATAAAAGCTGTGGTAATCTTTTGGGAGGTGCTAGAAGAGTGCCAGGTAGAAAGACAAGGTGAAAGGGCCCAAGCCCCAGGTTATCCTGGTAGCCCCTGAAACATCACCCCTTCAAAAGACACCTCAGTACTGTCAGGCTCTCGGGTCACAGATAGCAAGCAGTGTGCCCTCAAAGGTACCTGGGTATCACTGAGCAGGCTTCACTCTGTGTTTAAGTCTGTATTCCCATAGTTTCTCAGGGTGTCTCTTTTTCTTTGTAGACGGTCTTTCTTGGCATCTTGATGAGATCACTGGGAAATAAGAACACTGTTCTCCTTGGCTTGGGCTTCCAGATGCTGCAGTTGGCATGGTATGGTTTTGGATCTCAAGCCTGGTAAGCTTTACCCATAGATTCTAATGAACTCTCAGACAGATATGTTAGAGGAGCTGGCTAGTTGGGCATGATGAGAAGCAGCAAGTTTAGTGTTTTCAGCATTTCAGAAACCATCAGGCTTTAGGTTGGAGGAAGGTAGGTAGAACAGGATAATTCAAGATGATTTGTAAAGATTGCTTTCACCTCAGCAGTCTTTTACTGAATTATTGCTTAATTGAATGTGTGTCCCTCTTTCCTACTAATAAAATTCTATCTTTTAAACACATTTGTCAATTTTTGGGGACATCACATACAGTCCAAAGGAAAAATGATTGTTCCAAGCTTTGCTGTCATAATTAATTGAACAATCTTAGGCAATAAAATAACCTTTATAAAATACACCTTTAAGTCTGATGAACATTAAGATCTCTTTCAGTGGCATGTGTAGTCTGAGAGAGTTATGACTAGCACATTACATTCCCATTAATAGGAAGGAGGGTCAAAATAAACTTTGTGGAATAAAGAGAAAAAGAATCCTGAGTTCCTTGTTGTGTGGCAAGTTTCCTCATGTGCTTCATTGCCAAGCACCAGAGATCTTGACTCCATTTTAGACACCGGAGCTGGTTCTCCTTTGTGTTTGAAAATGGAAGGCATGATTTAGAGAAATTGCAAATGCTATAGTGGTTAGAGGTTAGTTGGGAAACAACACATGAAATTCTGAATGTCCTTTATTCTGTGTAATGTTTTACCTAAGATTAACTTGGGTTATTCTCCTTGTTCCCTTTCTATTTTGGTCCTGTGTGCTTTGCTTCACTAGCAGATGAACACTCTTGGAGTGTTAGAAAGACTTTGTCATCGTGAACAGTTTGTCTTTTTCAGTAAGGATCATCCCCAAGGAAGTCTGGCTCAGTTGGTTAAAAGCACAGCTAGGGCCTCACTTTGCTGATACATTTCTTCCTGATTCATACTTGGGGCTCTTCCTTAGAGAGCAAGACCTAGAACTGAGGGAAGTGGGCTCCTCTGGCTCAGTTGGTAGTGCACTGCTCTAGGGAGAGCTGGCAGACTTCGTAGCTCGAGATTAGTATGAGGGGTGAGACTTGAGAAGCACAAAAAGTGGAAATGGCAGTGTTTATACCAGCAAGATGTCCCCTGTAGAACTTCATTGAGCTTGGTAATAGGGAGAGCAGAGAGAAGAAAAGACTTTGAAAGAAGTAAAATTAAGAAATCTATTTCCATTACTGCCCGTGAAGAGATCAGTATTAACAGTGTGATGTATAGTATAGTCCTTCAAAGTTAAAAGGAAAGCGATATTTAAAAAGTGAAAAATAGCCAGTGTGGTGTTGTACTCCTATAATCCCAGCACTTGGAAGGCTGAGGCAGGAGAATCATGAATTTGAGATTATCCTGAGCTACATAGCAAGCTTAAGACCAGCTTGAAATATGTAGTGTGATCCTGGCTGGAGATGGGTGGGGGGGTCAGATAAATGAAACTGAACATGAGAAAACAGAAGGCATTTATACATTGCTGCTGCATTCTGAACAGCCATGAGCTCCCGAGCCAACCGTAGTCTGTCCTGTTGTTGCAGGATGATGTGGGCAGCAGGGACTGTGGCCGCCATGTCCAGCATCACATTCCCAGCAGTCAGTGCCCTCGTCTCTTGGAATGCAGAGCCAGATCAACAAGGTGAGGTTGCGGCCCTCACTGTTTCCTCCTTCAGCTGAGATCTTCCTGCCAGAAGCCTGAAGCTCTGAGCTCTTCACATCAACACCAGGAGGTGACAGCCTGTGATCCCTGCTCCAGGAGCATATCTGTTTGCTTTTTTCAGATATGAAAGTTCTGTTTTCTTCTCTGCTTTTATCTTACTCATACTTTTTTTAAAAATCAGCAATTTATGTACTAAGAATTAGAAAATATCCTTTTTTCTTTTTCAGTTTTGACTCCTTTTGTCATCATCAAACTCGGCTGTTCACATTTCAACAGGTGTCTCTTAAATGATAGCAATGAGTCATTTAATCACTAGCATTACTTTAATTTGAAGTAATTCAAAGTCTAAGAGCATGATGTAGGAGATGGTTCTTTGCGAGGATAAATACAAAATTTGTGTGGTTTTTGGTAGTTGGATAGAGTGAGAGGTAAAATAAGTTATGTCTGCTGTGTGGAATGTAGATGGTTGTGTACCCTCCCTTCTTATGCCTTGGCTTCCCTTGCAGGCAATTCTACTGCCAAAATTAGTCCTTTTCCTTGTCCATTTCCTAATGGCTCACTTTACAGTAGTTAGCAAATAGGGAATTTTAAAGGGTATATATATTTTAAGCTCTTTTAAATTTTTCAATAAAAAAACTATATTGGAAAGGATTTGTTATACCTATTTTTCCAGATCAGAAGTTAGCCATCTTTTTTATATCCATTTTTAAACACCGTTCTTTTATTTTTTTTCTTTTTATTGAGTTTATTGGTACATTTTAGGTATACAGTACAGTTACATTCACTATTGGGATCTTGTACCTTTACGTGACAGGTCTTGGTTCTCATTTTTCCCCTTCTCCCCGCCCTCCCTTCACCCCCTCCTCTCCTCCCCATTTACAAACACTTTATTTCCATCTTTTCATTTTCTCACATTTTTTTCTTTTCCCTTATTCCCTTTCCCCTACTCTTCCCACTTTCCCTACACCTTTAGCCCTTTTCTTCCCATTTCACAATGTCAGT